CTTAATCCATACGATTTTGATACTTTGGGCAACAAAATTACAAGTTTAAAGCTGACAGCAAAGTGTGCTTACCTGTTTTAGCATCTTGAAATCGCTTACGAACCATTGCAATTTTTTCTCACCACTGGAGGTTTGGGGCTTTCTGGGCATATTGAGGAATGGGGTGTTTATGAGATATACAATTATACTAGTGAAGCTGCATTTAAGAAAGAAGAAAAAACTGTACTCAAGAAGTATTCCCTGAATTCATGTTTAATCATGTAAAAAGAATTTATCATTTTCTATTTTAAGGATACAATTGCAAACTTATATACTTCCTATAATAATAAAAGGATATGTATACATATATAGTTCGTGGAGAAAATTCCGTAAATAGGATTATAACAAAGATGAAGTTGATAAATAAGATTATCATTGTTTAATATTTTCAAAATAGGACTCATTCACTCCTGTTTTGAAAACTTTTAATCAAGTTATTCTTTTAATAGAATTAAATAAGTTCTATTTGCGGATACATAATCTTATTTTTGAACTTTGTCTATGTTTTAGTCTTGTAGTGAACAATTTCTATAGTTTCATACTAATACATTTTTTGGTTAGATGTATTAATTGGGTAATGAAATTGTTTTGAATTTAATGAATGCGTGTGACATGAAAATGTGGTAAAAAAATATCAGTCGCATATATGTTTAGAGTTATTCATATAAAAACACTTTTTCTAATATTAAATAATAAAATGCCCAATACTTTTACATTTTAACTCATTTAATACTAACAACTAATGACAAGATGTGAAAATCACAAAAAAAAAAAATCACATTACTACCAAGGTTTTGAAAGGCGAAATCGGGCCTCGAGGCATTCCGTGGTAGCCTCCCGAGGCGTAACGAGGCGTAAGCCTCAAAATTATTTGCTTAAATGTTGCTACAAGCCTACAACATATCATTTAGTATAGACAAAATCTTTTTTTAATTAAATTAAATTATCTTGAGCCAAGTAAAGTAGTAAACTAGTAAAGTACGTAATATTAAACAAATAAATTACTAAGCTAAGTGATAGTTTTATATGATAACTTTAAAGTTTAAACTTTAGGCTAATATGGAGTAATATATACAGTAATAATATTAAAACAGGCAAAGATCAGAAACACAAAACTGAAACTCTTAAATAACTAAAAACTTAAATTAAAAACTCAAAAATTTAATTAAATGTTTCAAAACTTAATCAAAGACAAACAAAGATTAGACTGTAGCCTGATATTGTGGCAGAGTAAATATTAAATACTTCAAAACTGAACTTTTGAATAGCTAAAAACTTAAATAAAAAACTTAACGAACAAACGCAAATACACAATAAGAAACTAGGCGGTGGAATATTTTATACGAGTAACTACATGGAGTTCTGGACGAAGCACGGAAGCAGCTCGGAAGTCCTTCCTCTGTAGTCTGTACTGGAACATCGACTGAGACAGCACCTCTTAGACTGGAATAGCAGCGATGTGCGAGGACCTAGGCGCTAGGTGATAAACGAGCGACCCAGGTTTTTTGTATTTTAGACTTGGGATGAAAATAAATTCGAGGCCTCCAATAATTAGAAAAAATAAGCCCAAGTTGCTTCAAATTAGAGGCGTATGCCTCGTCTAAGCCTTGCGCTTACCGCCCAATTCTACACATCAGGAAAAAAGGGCATAACTGCGTAAGCCTTGTTACGGGAATGGAAGGCTTAAGCCTTACGTGCGATTGAACAACGCCTTTGCGCTTTTGCGCCTCAGGGGCTTAAAGGCTAAACGCCATTTAAAACCATGATTACTACTAATTGCACATTTGTACATCCGCATATTGGCTAAAGCAATAAAGAGTGAATGACAATAAAAAAAACTATACAAGGGCAACAACTCAGCAAGCCATGGATCTAAAGGACAAACAACATTTGGAATACATCAAAGATAGACAGAGGCTCAAATTCCTTCCCTGAATATCGGAAAATCTGAAACTACATACCTCAAATTCAAGAAATAAACTAAACTAAATAAATTATAAAAAAATAAAAATTGAAACTAAAATACCGAAAAATGAAATACATACCTGCAATACAGAAAATCGGAGACCACCATCCAACGAGGCAGTCAGGAAGAGAATCATGCACTCAGGTACTATAATAATATAAAGCTTAAAAATTACAAATCACAAGTAAATTCATACTACTTTAAATTGAATTGAAAACATAATAAAACTAAAACTTAAAATAAAAACATAATAAAACTAAAACGTAAAATTAAACAAGGCTGTAATACCAAAGTCTAAACAAGGCTGTAATTAAAAATAAAAACCTAATTAGCTTAGTAATTTACCCGTTAGATGGTTCCGCAGGCCGCAGCTCCAGAGTCCCAGTTTACCACCGAATAGCAGAATTGCAGAAAGCCAGAAACTAAGCAGTGAAGCAGTCCAAATTGGCAAACCGTCGTGCGCCGTCCAACTGTCCAATTGTTGAGCGCCTGAACCTCCGTGCGCCGTCCAATGCGGAGCTTAGGTTGGGATTTGGGGGTTTGCCGAAACGGAACGCTGCGGAATGCTAGTGGCTGCGCGCTACATTTTTCGAGTTGGATTAGGGATGTTGAGATTTTGGGCCATGGTCTAAATGTGGGCTTGGCTGGAAGGATAGGAGAGTGCGGATAAACAAACCTACGGACTAATGGAGAAATGGACCTGGACTTTTCTATATTGATTTTTTTTTTTTTAAATTTGAGGATAGGCCTAATTTTTATACATGAGTAATTCTAAATGCAACCCCTATTTTGCTAAACACAGTCTTTAAATAAAATCAAGGGTTTTTTACATGAATATTACTAAAATAAAACGTATTTACATAAATATGATTATTCATTACTACAACGTAGTGTTGTGGTAACTTAAGTTCAAAACTTGAACATGAATTACTATGATTTCATTACTACTCTAGTAACTAGTCATATTTTTGTAAACCATTTTTATTTTGGTCATATTTTTGTAATTATTTCTAAAATTAATTAGCGGTGCATTGCAGAAGATACTGACCTTCGTTGATGCGGCAGAGAGAAACGGTGCCAGACTCCCCCTGCCATCCAAATCAAATCTACAACGACGGTGATGGCGGCCAAACTCTCGAGCAGAAGCTGCTCTGAAGTTAGGGGTATGAAGTTAGGGGTACTTGGATTTGATTCTTAAAACCGCTTCTGCTCCTTCAGGGAGTAGAAGCAGAAGCTGGAGTGTTTGGGTGAAAGTGTAAAAGTGATTACGATACTCAAATTTACTTCTAGAATCAGTTTTTTTAGAAGCTGGGGGTGACCAGCTTCTGAAAACTGATTCTGATTTTACTTCTGCTTTAAAAAAGAAGCAGAAGCAGAATCAGTTCCAAACACCCCTTAATATTTAAATGTGACAAAGTAAAATTACAAATAGAAGCACCGCATGTAGTGTGCTGTCTAGGACGTGCCACACCCCTGCAACTGGGGCAAATTCGGCAGCGTGTGGCAACGTCAACTGCTGTCCAGCCTGTCCTTGCAGTTGAATTGATAGCAGCCCCGACCCCGGCCTCCCCGGCCCTGGCCTCCATGGCCAACACCTCCTCTCCCATGGGACACGAATACTGGTAGACGCTGGCCAATTTGCGTGGTAGCATCAATTGCCTACTGGAGATTGTTCGGGTCTTGTTGTCTCAAAAAAAGTATACATTGCTCTTGTGCTACTTATCGTGGGTGGAGCTCATCAAATTAAATGGAAAATTTTGACGGAATAAAGATGTTGGAGTAACAAGGAATTTGTATTCCGGTCTCAAACCAAGAATGACGCATTGTAGTAAATCAAATTTTCACACAGAGAATTGATAGTAGTAAATCAAATTTCTGTTTGATGTGAGATAACATTCGTTTGAGCTCCATTAAACGAGCTAGGCTAGCGGACATAAATTAGATTTGTTGCTTACCTCAGATAGGAAAATAATTTTTAATAACGAAAGAGTAGCAAACAACCAAGAGTGAAATGATTGATCTACTTTCAACAAGTGATAATACTCAAATCCTAACTAAATGTGGGAGATTTCTTTTTCATGTCTTTTCTTATTACGTACATACATATAGATAGAAATGGGCGAGTCCCCACTCCTCAGTTCCCCACTAGATAGATGAATAGCACTAACGGATTCCTCTAGATTCACACCTCCTTCGCTAGTCACAATCCAAATTAAATTTCACAGGAACTCACAAGAAGAACAACTTTGGGTTGGACATGGTCTATTTAGTGTGTGGTCCAAAATTTTCAAATTTTAGGTCTATTCTCACATCACTCGAGTGCAAGTACTGGGAACAAGCAAGTAAACTAGAAAAGGAAAAGAAATAGTGAAATACTGGAAGGGAGGCGGGTCGCGGTGGGGTAGTGGCGGCCCGGGCCGCCCGGCTGGCGCTTGGTGGCAGAGGGAGACCACTGGCTGTCTGGGCGTCTGGCTCAGTCCTTCTTTGTGCAGGCTCCAGCCTTCACGGATTCACGCGGCGAGAGCAGTGGGGCGCCGGCGCTGCCTACTCTCCAACCTTCGTCCTTCAGTCCTTGATTTCCGAGAAGTGGGGTGCGGTTTGCGGCTTCGTTGGGTGTCTGATCGAAGATGGAATCGGGAGTGGCTTGGGGATTTTGGGCGTATGTTGATGGCCAATGGGTTAAAGTTGGGCCTATGAATTTGGGTTGGGTTCTAATACTAAAATTTTTTTGGGCCTTCCATAATTCCGGGTCCTGTGCGGTTGCACTGGGCAGTCATGCCCTGGGCCGCCCTGTACTCGATATAAATGAAAAAGTTGATTGATAGACCGATAACCTAACAATAGAAGTTACTAAACCGTTCAAGAGAAATTAGGATGTAGTTCATTGAACTGAAAATTTCTAATATGGTCTAATCTAAACGGGTATATTCTCAGTGGAGGAGTCAAGATTGACAAGTTACAGCGGCTGGGGCATAAAAAATTCATATAGCAGGGACAAAAACTTAAATTTTCGCTATATTTTTTACTACTTATAAATATTTATACATATATATACATCACAATTTTTTTCTTGCAGGGACCGTGACCACAGCTAGCCTCTCCTGACTCCACCCGGGTGTATATTCTCATAAATTTGTAATTGGGAAAACGTGGTTTTTTTTGGGTGAACTATGTAGAAATTAGAAAAATAGGACACACTAACTGATACGGAACAATGGACTAGTCGTCTACCAATGATAAATACACAGAGTAATAATTATCCATACAATAGTAGGTGAAACACTACACACCAAAAACCCAATAATTTCCTGACTACTCCTTTGTCTGCTAGCCGCCGACGAGAGGTTCTTCACAAATCCTGACGGTGATGTTAAATCGCTTGTCGGAACGTACAGACCGGGAGGATTTTCCGGCGAAACAGAAACTTCCGGCACCTCAGCAACGCTGCCTAAAACGGCACTCCCTCCGCCACCAGGTTTCTCAACTTGAATCGGACTCTTTGGAAATAACTCCCCGGGTAGTAATACCTTTGAGACTCCGAATATGGCGACCGGGTTCTGATCGATCACCGTCCGTATCACCAACGCCTGTACCACGCCGGTGTCGATCGCCACAGATCCGTTGAGCCTGGAGATGTTTAAGGTGAACCTCTCGGCTCCTTTCTGCTCTGTCAGCAGTGTGGGCTCAATCGGGTTCACAATACCTTCAAGCGAACCTAGCGGGTAATACGAGGTGAGAACGTGAAATCTGAGGATATCGGCTTTCTCCTCCGCCGGTAATGATTGGAATCTAACAGACGCCGGCAGATCTGAGAATGCCTGATCCGTCGGCATGAACAGTGTCAGCCCGGCTCCGCCTTCGTGCCGTTCGAATTCACCTTCAACGCCGGATGCGATGAGCATCGACGCCACGACATTGAAGTCATCGGCGTCGATTAGGGCCTTGGTGATGTTCAGGCCCGGAGGTGGCCTACCGTCGGACGTCATGAGATCGAATCCATCAGGCACCAGAAGAGAATTCACCGAGAAAATAGAGACATTGTACGGCACGGCCTTGATTTGAGATAATACAGTGGCGTTGGATACGGGGGAGACGACGGTGACAGCGCCGGAGTCCGGATTCCGAGTGATATTGACAGACCCGAAAATGCCAGATGCCCGGCCCGTGGCCTGAAACAGAGTGGTCACAGTTCTCACACCGGGTGGGTTCCGTCGGAGGTCCGACAAGGAGAGGTACTCAAGGAGGATGTGGTAGCGAATTACGTCGCCGGCGTAAATGGAAGATGGGGATGAATTGGGGGGATTGAGGAGATCGGAGTTGCGGAGGATGGTGTTGGGTACAGCGAGGAGAGTGATTGAAGTACGGCCGGAGAGATCTGCGGCCACGGCGGTGGTTGTGATGAGGTTAGCGAAGTCGCTGAAGTCAGGGTAAGAAGACAAAAGATTGGTGACGTTAATGCACAGAACGGGGAAATGCGACGCAGAGAAGGCAAGGAAACAGAGGAGGAGCGGAACAGAGGCGAAATTGGATTCGGAAACTGTGGTAGCCATGGAAACAAAGTGTACTAGAGAAGGTGCTCCTGCCCTTCACAGAAATGGGTTGGGTTGGGTTGCGTTGGGTGGATGATAAGCACTGACGTTGATGCGATGATGCCAATTATTTGCATTTATTATTCCCTTTCCATATCGTATTATTAGTTAATTTTTGGTTTAACATGGATTATAAGAAAATGAGATGGACAAAAAAAACGTGATGTCCTTTAACACTAGGATATGAGGATTGATGTCCAAAATAGTGTTTTCACTCTTATTTCTTGCATTCCAGCACCGTCAATAAAATATACTTTGCATATTTTTTTACATGTCAATTTAGTAAAACATTAATTAAATTACTATAAGTAATGTTTTCCTTTTATTTTTTCTCTAATTAATTATAAAATAAAAAAGACGCATTTCGATGTAAAAATAAGTAAGTTTCATTAATTTTTTTAATTTTCTTTATTAACAAAAAATGAACTTAGTTCAACTAAAGTGGAATATTCCGTTATTTGTAAAGACCTCGTGAATTAAAAATTTGTGTTTCGTGTTTTTTGGCCTAAGAACTCCAGCATTAAAATTTTAGATTTTTTTTTATTATATATATATATATATATATATATATATATATATGCAATATTGGTGTCAAATGAAGGATCATAACATTTTATAAATTTCAATATATTTTTTGTAAAATTTGAAATATAAATAAAAAAAGTTACCGGGGTTTAAATGAAAAAGGTTTTGTTTTTGTATAAGATGAAGTCAAATTCATTTAAAAGAACACCACGGTCCAGCACCCAGCAGCCACTGTGCACCCCCCCTCTCTCTCTCCCGTTATCCTTTTTTTTTTGCCGTCAATCCATCTTCTATATTTAGACCTTCCCTTCCCCTTTCCATTTTTAATACCTTCAACTAGTCACCAATGTAAGAAATTAGGAGCCCAAAAGTTCCATCTTTAACATTTTGGACTACTTTAATAAGGGCATCCTCATTGTTAGGATTATTGAGGGATCAAATTAGTGACGTGGCAGATTTTTTAGAGAAGTATCATTGGGAGACATTGATTATTTAATGAGATTATTTGCTAGAATAGTCCGGGACCAAAATATGAATCCGGATTATCTTAAGATTATTTGAAAAGTATGTGTAATACGTTAATGTCGGGCGGAGAAAAAAGCGGATTATTTGAAGATGATGGTTGGGAGGCATAAATGGATTTTGAGATTATTTAAAAATTAATTATGTAAGAATATTTAAAAGGCAAGAATGCTAGAAAATATGATTTTTATGGGATTAGGAATGATGATGCACTAACAAAAAGTAGAAAAAACGTGATTGACATATGGTCGATTTAATATGAACAAACTAACAATAAACCACAACCATACGAATAATCAAATATTAATAAGAAATTGTTCCCCTCATTTGAACGTTCTAATATGAAAACTTTCAATTATCTTTTATTTGATTTTTTTTATTTGATCCAATTCCTTTTTATTCGAATCTTTCTATTCTAATTTGATTGACTATTTCTGATTTGATATGAAACTTTGTGTTTAAATCTGAATCTTTTCAGTTGGTTGAGTTTTTATTATTATTATCATCATCATATATGACGGTGGTTATTGTAAAAGAAAAAATATGGTGGTGTTTGTACTCGGTGGTGTTTGTTCTTCCCCTGCTACCTCCGTCCTTAATTTATGGAGTTAATTGCATAATTTAAAATAGAAAATTAAAAGTGTTGCAATTAAATAGATTGGGGGTAACATTATTTATTAGGCAATGGAAGTTTAGAATGTTGATTGTGTGTTCATGAATTCTAAAATATTTTATATTATATTATGCAATTAACACCATAAATTTATATTGTTGGAAAAAAACAATACTTGGCTATGGTGCTAAAATAACTTTTTATACAAAGTTAAGGATATTTAAATTACATATGCAAGTTTGAGGTGTTCATTTCACACCTCTTCAAAGTTTGGGGTATTTCAATTAATTTTACCAACTATAAATTAAATGATATGTAATCTTATAAGTACTCCCTCCGTCCCAGGGAGAAGTTCCCAGGTTCACTTTCACACATTTTAGTGAAATAAAGTTACTGAGGGGTAAATTTTACTGTTTGACATTGTTTCGACACTGTTTGGCACTCTTTCGACACTGTTTTGCACTGTTTTGCACTGTTTTGATGTAGGATAACTTTCCATTTAGGGAAATGAGACTTTTTGTTGGGACTGCCAAAAAAGAAAGTGAGAACTTGTTCCTGGGACGGAGGTAGTATGTTTTATTAAGGGTAGGAATAAAACCGAACCGAATAACGTGTATTTAAGTAATTCTGTAGATTTTTATCTTCAATCGAAATCATACCATTTGAAACGGGTACAATACTGGTCCTAGATTTGGGGAGAACCGGAAAATATTAGATATGATTGTTCAAAAATAATGCATTTGAGATTTTTATAGTCTTTTACCATACCATCAAAACTCTTTTTTGGACCAACAATTTTTTAGTCCAAGTATGTATTCATGAGTCCCTAAAATAGCCAAATTCATGATTAGTTTTTCCTTTTTGGTACATTTTGGTATATATTGAAAAAATGCTAAAGTTTTAAAAAATCATTAATGACTATTAATTTCAAGTAATGTATTATATATGCCTTTTAGTTACATCATATTTGTGCAGTTTTACAACTTAACTAATATGATTTGAATCTTAGCTCTCACGATGGCAATATAAATTAGAACTAATATTCAACCTAGAACAAAGAAGAGGAATGTTGAATATTTTTATATATTCGACAATTTGACGACATTCTTTTCATATATTCTCAAGAATTTAATAAAGATGATATTTATCTGGTGTATCATTATTTTGCTAAAGATGACATCTACTAATTGCAAGATTTGATATTAAAAAAATTAGCATTATTAGTTTAGCATTGCACCGTATAGTTTTGTACCATTCCGAAATGACATGGTACGTACCACATGATTTAATCCTTAGAACTGAACCGAATCGTTACAACCCTCACGGATATATTGCGGGTTTTGTTAATTTATCGGACTGTTTCGGACCACGCTATGGGTAAATGGTAATCATGAGTGACGGGTAGAAGTAGTGAAACTCTTCTTACTTTACAAATTATGCACATGATTTGTCAAATCACTTACTCCGTATATTAATTACTAGCATTTACTCGCGCAAGGCGCGAAAATATTTGTTCAATATTAAAGTAATGTTTTTTTGTGGAGAACTATATATTACATGTGTAATTGTTATGAGATCTTTCCTCAAGTTATAGCCAAATTCCTCAAAGAAAAATTCAAATAGGAAAGGATTTATTAATAAAAGAGAAGTTAAAGTTTTTTCTTTCTTTCAAAAGAAAGAATTTAAAGTACAATCGCAAAAGTGAATTCAGCCACATGGGAGTGAACCCCGACAGGCGACAATTGTAACACCGTCCCTATTTATATTTACGTTTAAGATAATAAAGTATTGAACCTTATGGAATGGTTAATGAATTTACGAAGTTGTAAATTTTTATTAATTCCTTCACGTGAATAGTAAATTGCACGTGGGACCCACACCAGGAGCGGGATCCACCCAATATTCCCGAAACCACATATTTTATTCATCTTGGTCGAGATAATATATTTTTTAATAGTGGTGAGTATTTTATTCGGGCCAAGGAAAAGGCATAGTGTTGATCGATTGGTCAAACAGAGCTAAATTATCGGTATTGGTAATTTAGCAGATAACAGCCCGAAAATGAATTTCGGAGACTTCAAAATTTATGTTATGGAATATATGTTATTTCAAGGTGCTTTTATGATCGAGAGAAAGTAATATATTTTATTTGACCCGATAAAATAAAATATAATTAAAACAGCCCGAAAAATACAACATTCGGGGCCGAATGCACATTTCGGGGTATGATATTCGTGTAATTTCCGATTGTATGTTTGTATTTTTAACTAGTGTTTATTAGTTGTAGTTGTGGAAATTACACACTTTTGATGTAATACTTTATTTTCATTTTTATTTGTAATTTGTTTAGTTTATGATTATTCTGAGCTAAACAGGTCAAAGATCATCCAAGGGTTCAAGATTGGACCTTAAAAGATCAAGGAAAGTGCAAGGAGATAAGAAAGATTTCGATTTGGAAAAAATACTCATGTACCCGGTCGGGTATTGCCTATACCCGATCGGGTATTCGCTTGATTCGATTGTCCAAATCAAATCCGGGAACAAATGATCGTGGGAGCAAATGTTCGTGAAGATTTGTCACATACCTGATCGGGTATGCCCAGAAAAGTGACTTTCTGGACAATTTCCTAAGATACCCGATCGGGTATCCTATATACCCGATCGGGTATCAGACCCTGCAGCTCCCAAAAGCCTATAAATACACCCCTTGCCTTCACAATAAAATGACCAATTCTCATATACTCTTTAACTCAGTTTAGATTAGTGTTTTCTTTATATTTTCTATCATGTTTAGTCTCCAAATGAGGAGCTAAACTCTTCCATCTTGGTTTTACTACTTTGAAGCTTAATGAATTTGTAAGTTGTGAGTTATTCTCTTTAATCTTCTTCCTTGAATATTAATTCTTCCTTTAAATACTATTTCTATATCAATGTTGGGGAGTGTTACTAAGATGACAATTAGTTAACATCTTGACATTAGTTATAGCAATAGCTATTTCTTCCTCTATGTTAATATTGGGGAGTGTTACTAAGATGACAATTAGTTAACATCTTAATATTAACTATAGTAGTTTTCATCTTCTTTAATATTCTTCCTTGAGTATTAATTAATTTCTATTCATATTTCATATTAATATTTGGAACATTACTTAAAGGATCAACTAGTTTTGTTTCATATATTAATTATTACTAGAATCGATCGACGAATACACTTGTTAATCGTTTGATCGTTTCACGGTAGTAAACTTGAGTTATTAATGCATGCGTTTCATGGTTAATAAGCCAAGGGGAATTAATTATGTTGATTAAACCAATAAACCGCTTGTGTTGAGGTGATCAATCGATCTCAATCGTTTTCATCTTGATTTTATTGCTACTACCGGATTAATATACGGCGCGTGTTCTATATTAACTCTATAGTAAGTTTTATTAATGAACGCGTCTTGTTATTAATAACTACCCTTGATGAACTGGATATACTCCTCGATTGAGTATTCGAGAGGAAGATACTTAAAGATATAACCGGGATCGACGAATATTTCATTAAGTGGATAAAAGCAAAACCATGTCCCCATCTCTATTAATTAAACTCATTTAA